TTCTGAAAATATTATATAAGTTAAATAAAATGACAAGTTCAGAATCATTCGATACTTTGTTATATAAAAATAAAATAAGATAAATTGCAGGGTCTGATCAATGTAAATTGGATCAATAAAACTAACATTCAATCTATGTTTATTAGTGAAGTACATCCAACAAGTGCACAGAATAACATTTATCAAACACGGGTAAGGAGTAATTAAAGGTTTGAACAATCCAATAATGCGGGCATCATTTAATGAACTACTTCTGGAAGTAAGAAATAGCGGTAATTACAGGGAATTTATAAAAAATCTTTAAAAAAACTTAAATATAAACTAGGTAATGTGAAGAATTTTATCTGATGCTAGACACACAGGTCCAACTTATCAATTTAGTACTCGAGGCCAGTGCTTCAAGCCCTGTTTAGAGTTCATGTTTAACATGTTGTAAAATATTATATTATGGTATTGAATAAAGTGTTTACCATAAAATCCAGAGCATATCATTTAATTTAATGTTACACCATTGAAAACGTACAAATATTGCTTAAACAAGATTTTGAGAAAATCTTTATGTTTTGCTGGTATGGTGGAAAAACAGACACAATTTTGGGACACCCTGAATGCTTTAGTCCAAATTTACTAATTTGTATTAAGAATTTAAACTTAAAAAAAGTCTTCATTTTTAGAAAACTCCAAATATCTCATAAACCCTAACTAAGATAAACCTTAATAGAACTAGCATTTACTTTGATCGTAGACACTTCAATATACTACTAATATAATACAGACAATATTTCACTAAAAAAATGTAATCTTGGCTTGAATAATTAGGACCTCCTGTACATTAGAGAATAATTGTAAAATGTGCCCCTCGGTTTTCCATTTATCTTTAGAATAACAGTTTTTAAAAATTAAATAGTTTAACCGCTATCTTCATTGTGGTATAATCTGAATAGCCCTGTATAAGCGACGACTAATTAAAAATTAAACTATTCTTTCAACATTGCAAATATTTTACTGACAACTGGAGCTTTTCCTAATAAATCACCAACCAGTGTTATAATTATTCTTATTCCTAAAGTACTTTAAGCGGAAGTCACTGGTTGAAATTAGACCGGTTTATTTGCTTCTGGTAATTGATAAAAAGATTGATTGTTTATGGGCCTACAACCAGCACGTGAGACTATTTATAGTGAATTCTCTACAAAAAATACTGCAACTTTTTGGAGTAAAAATGTGGCAAATTGAGATGGATTGTAGGGTAGACGGGGCCTTTATTATTTGTTACTAGTATGTCTGATGTGTATTTGCTACATTTATTTCTCTCCCCATACTCCCCATCAAATGCTAACAAGCAAAGCTCAAAATGTACCGTTGCTAAAGTTTTTTTGTCTGTCAATTAAGAGCTATCTGGATGTAAGAGTTTGGACGCTCTCATCTCTTATCAAAAATGTATAAGGTTCACGTCCTTTTTTCAAGTTGATTTTGAAATTATTCAACTAATCTATATACAGGGTGATTTAGAATCAAGAGGAGTAAATTCTTAAGTGTTATATTTCGTGGAGAATGAAAGAAATACAGGGTCCGGCAATGAAAAGGCAAGATTTCGCAAATAATTTTATTGTATAAAAAACAAACAACTCGTGCTTGCGAAACCTCAGGACGAAATTCCATTTTACGACAGCCTAACCCGAAATACCGACTAGTTTCAAGCTCTACGGGGAGGAAACATAATTAATATTTAATTATAATAATATAATTTATACAACCGGTTAAATAATATGCGCAAACGGAAGGCAGAACTCCTATCATTACTCGCTTTCCCGAGCCAGTGCAGCGATTCTAACATCATCCCGGCTTCCTGAAGCGCAAAAGAACCCTTAAGACCACGCAAGCACAGCGCAGGACCGAAAAGTTATTATTAAGGGAAAGGATCCACAACGTGAGAAGCCCAGAACATACCTGCTGGGTATGGAGGGATATTTTGTGGTGAGAAGTAAACTGGCAGCAACAGGCAGCGAACGTCTAATCTCTTTTACAAACTGGGAGACAGTCGCCATCACGCTAACTGGAATAAGATCGATGGCATTTCCCACAACACCATGCAAGCATAACTGGACAGAGCCACGAAGAGGCAACAGCAGAAATTTGAGAAATTGGAAGCCAAATTTTAAGGCACAACCCAAGCCACATCAAGCCTGAACCCAGCGCAAACTGTAGTGAATCTGAGCAGTCATACATTAACGGATCAATCTGTCGAATCTGTAGCGAAAGGAGGAAACTTTGCTATTAGCCCAAGAACGATACCAATAGAGGAAATTATCTCGAGCACCGAGACAGTTAGAGAAATACGTCTGAAAACCACCCAAATCCTACAGAGTAGTGATGGACGGGTCGGATCTGACCCGACTCAGGAATCCGGATCTTTGAAAAGACCCGTCGGATCCGGATCTTGAAATTTTCCAAATACGAGTCTCGGATCTTAACGGATCTTTTATATGCC